AGGAGCAACTGATGACTGTCATGCCTTTGGTGAAAGAGGCGATCGGTTGTTGAAGTTGTTGAATGTTGGCGACCGTTCTCAAAAAACTTCCCGGATTTCCCATTTGGGTCAAGATTCTATCAGGCAAACCTCATCATCCAGGAGCTTCAAAGGCTGGTTTCAGCTGTAGTACAGCTGTAGAGCATATTCTTCTTGGACTCAACATTCCCTGCTACAAGACTTCGCCATAAGTCTTGGACTCAATGACCCTTATTAACCTCCGACTTTCTTTTGCGCTGCATGATTCAAGGAAATGCACCTTCATGCTTATTCTAGCTTGTAACACAAGAGCATTTGTCTTCAGCTTTGCTGGTGGCTCCAGGCCTCACCGCTTGGAAACAAAGATGCACTGTGAGCTCACTGCCGAAGGAAAGAGCGGGTCGGTTCCACAGTCTGCTATGTTGCGGTTGTAGCACTGAGAAGACAATTTTTGCCAGTCTAAATCAAGACTCAACTTTTGAGATCTTGCTGAAGGAACCTCAAAGTTTCTCCCTGCTACCATACCTTAAGGGCGGTGAATGTCGCTGCTGCTGTGATGCTCAACGGCTTCGGCCTTGGTGTTTGGCATTAGTTTCCGGAAGAATCTAGGAAACAGATCATTAGTGCGAGCGGGAACTGTCCTGCGCCCATATGTAGTCGCTAACTAGTCGCCCTTACTGAATAAAGGAGGCAGGGCAAACAGCCGGAGAAGCACTGCAGGCGTTCGTCTCTTCGAGTGGAACCCGGAAACGCTCGAGAATCGAGGCTCGATACGCGTGAGCAAATCAGAAAGCCTCACGTGGAAGAGACAGTGAAAGGTCTTAGAAATCCCTCCAAAAGGGTGCATTGAGAAAGGGGCTTGTTGAATAGGAAGGTTGAAGGGTCAGGCGGTTCAGGGGTCAAAGCAGGGCATTGAGTCGTGCCCATTTGTGTTGGAGAGCAGTCCTCGACTGGGACATGACGGACTTCCGTGTGAAAGGAAAAGGCTTTGTGGTGGGATTTTTTCATTCCTACCACGCGGCACTCGGAAAGCCTTGGCTTCTCCTTTAAGTTGCCCTTTGTGTGCTGCTCCCACAAAACATTGTTGAGCAATCACATAGTAACAATGATGGGTTGGCTCTCAGTTTACTCTGTATGGGGTCTGCTGGGACCTGGTGGGTGTCTGTTTGCACAAAATTGCAGTTCACACCCGAGAGTGCTATTGCATCCCAAGAAGGGGACCTCTGCTGATACGGGATCCACTGCTATGGGTGGCTCCTCACCGCCAGTGTGATGAGTGTTAGAGGCTGTGCCACCCCTGTGAAGGGGCAACAAGAAAGGGCCAAAGCCAAACAAAGGTTTCCTTCTTTGTGCCCGTGGGTTCCAATCTGCACTTGCACTCGCCACAGTTTTCATCCTGCGCGAGCTGCTGCAGCGAGCCGAAGAGGAAGGATTAGAGGCAGTTTTGGGGTCTATTCAAGTGACTGCCATTTTCCAGAGCATGTGCCAATGGTTTGTGGGTTTGCAGTTTGCATTGGTCGATTTTCGTTTCTTGTCAGCCTGAGTTCCAAGGCTGTGCAGGATTTGCCGAACGAGGAGGATCCGCTCTGGGATCCAATTGAGGCCCCATTTTGCCCCTTCGGCGACTTCATCACTCTACACTTTAGACTTTAGAATTTATATATAGATACGTTGTGCATAGGTGGAGCGTCTCATTGGCGTGGCACAAGTCTTGCTTGAAGGGGCATGTCTCTTACTGACCATGCTTCACTTGTGGATTGTGCAAAGGATGGTGAATTTGCCTCACAGTTGCCTCATTTGGTTGTTCCAACAGGAAATCGAGCCGCTCTGAGGTGCTTCTTCAAGTGGAGAATAAAGTGGATGCCAGGATGTGCTGTTTGATGCTGTTTGCACTGTTGTGGCTTTTGCGTCATTGAACGCAATAGAAATAAGACTGGTACGCTGTGCACAGTCTGCTCATGTCTTGCAGGATCCTCAGCAGCGAAGGCCAAGCAGTTGGGGCGCCCTATTGAAGCGACCAAGCTTTAGATGCAAGACACACCCGACTGCTCTTGTGTTGCCGAAATGGTTGCTTCCAGATCTCTTTAGTCACTTTAGTCTTAAGATCTCTTTAGTCCAAATGGTTGCTTCCACACCTTGTGTTTCTGGCTGCTCTTGTGTTGTATTTTCCGCCAAGGTGGGCAGCCTGACTGTGGAAATCGTGCCGATTGCCAAGGACCCTTCAACGTGAAGCGACATCAGTCACTTGGACCTGCGATTTTCTGGTCCAGCTACGCGAGTGCTTGTAGGACGGATCTGAAGGCATTCCCGATGAAGAGGTCGTGGAGGAACCCGAGGAGCCTCATTACAGATTCATGAGTTTGAAGCAGCATGATGTTGATGCCTGTATGATCCTGTATGTAGTATGTGTGTTGCTGCACCTACAAACGCCCAGCACAGGAGCTCTTAGGTTCATGCATGAAGTTTCTGGTGAGAGTGCCACAAGCTGCGGGCTTGCCAGAGGCCATCCGAAAGTGTTACGCGAGATGACGCGAGAAACCTGAAGACAAGTGCGAGATGTGCGAGAAACTTTGCATTTGTGAGGCATTAGCAAATGATGTGCGCGTAGAGTACTCCTACTTCATCGATGAAAAGCCTGCGGCTTGCGGACACAAAGTCAAAGCTTTAGGTCATTTTGGGTCATAGATCTTTGAGTCGAACACGCTACATTCAATGCCTTTATTTGCATTTTCTCCGAGGCCACACAAATTACCTACTGTGCTCCTATCTAAGCTTTTCTCAGACTGCAAGAACCACGTGAAGAAAGATAGTTTCAGTACCTGAGGTTCGGTCACAACTGCAACCCTGAGTTCAAGTACAGTCATACTTTCGTTCAGGCCCACATCTTTCAAGTCGACAGTTTTTTTGGTTGTTGGAAGTGCTTGCTTATGTTGTTTCATATCGTTTCTACTCGCCTGTTGTTTCTACTCCGAGACAGTTACAACGACGAATTCTACAATGCCGAGGTGGCATTGTCGCTTACCCACAATGACTTTCTGGCAAAGCGATGTAGTTTTCTTCCTGTCCATATCCCTTGATCACACAAATGGACACCTCCATGCTCGAACTCCCAACTTTAACTTCCTTTTAAATTTAATTTTGATTGAGATAATACAAACAGGAGATAGCTGGCATCAACATGAAGTCGCTTGTCCGTCGGAAACTCTCCTGCTTCATGATGTCAACGTGCCAACGTCAATATTTTGCAGGCAACCGGGTATTTACAGGTGACTTTGAACATGGCCATTCTGAACCTAAAAAAGATGGAACAGGAACATGCACCTGCAATGCTGCAGCCCCGCCTCAGGATAGACAAACTCATGATATTGATTTCTTTTCTGTGCCATCAGGATCCAGTGACTTCACGCTTTCTCGAGTACCTGCAATCCAAGTTGGTCTTTCGCGTGTACGCTGCAATTCCAGTAGCAGCTTCTTGCAGTGATGCTGGCATTCAGCTGGTGTTCGCTTGTTGAATCCTCTTTAGGTACGGAAGAGATGCTGGGGCAGCGGAAGCTGCCGAAGAATTGGCACGTTCCGGCCCCAGGTTCCTCAAATTCTGGTAAATAGCTGAACTCTCCCCATGCATCATACACAGGAGGATCCACTCATAACTGAGACAGATGCGGACAACAAAAGAATGGAGTTCAAACTGAACTCACGCAAATGCTGAAGTGTTTGCCAAGGAAAGGAGAAGCCCAAAGAGGCCTGTGATGAAGCGGAATTGCGCAAAACGACCACAATTAAATGCAGATTCTTTGAGATGCGTTTTTCATCAAAAGCAACACTGTTGCTTCTTCTTTGGTGCAGGCACCGGTTAGCCCTGCCCCTCCGGTGGAGGAGCCAACAAGTACCAAACAAGAAGCACCGGCACCGGTGTCTCCACCAAATCTTCCTGGTGAAGTGTCTCAAGGAGGCCCTTTGTTCCCCGCTTCTTGTTACTAGTAAGGCCAGGAGCGCCCCTAGTATGCCCTTGTTCCTAGTAGCTTCTTGTTAGCACAAAGTCGGACTGACTCGCCCTACTTTGCCCCCGCAAAGTCGGACGTTGCCAGCTTTCAAGGCCTTCGAGCCGAAGATGCACCCGAGTCGCCCAAAGCACCAGAAGTTGTGTTCTGGGCCTAGACGGCCTAGACACCAATATTGTCATTTTCACTGAACCCATTTCCTTTGACTATTTGGGTTACCATGGGCTCAGTGCTTCTTGGAGGCAGGGAAAGTCTCAAGCATCACTTCGCTTGGCAGCAGAAGAGGCTGGAACTATTTGAAGAAGAGTCAGCTTGGCATTTTGATTGACTGCTCGTGGTACAGCCAGCTCCATCGCCAGGCAGTGGGCCATGCGGCCAATCACCCACCACCACCTCCACCACCAGGCAACGTCCTCAGATATCCAAAGAGAGAATCACAGACTGACTCCTTGTCACCAATGACAGGCAAGACGAAGTTCTGTGTCATCCTGTAGCCATGTGCTTGGATTTTGCCGTGATCTCTAGTTTTCATGTTCTGCCCAACCTTATGTTCAAGGCAAATTGCCTGATGGAGACTCAACAATGCTGACAATATGCTCATTCCATTTCCAATGCATTCTTATCGTTTCACTCGTGTAAGAGGCACGGCTGTGAACGGGACGACTGCCCTTTCGAGCTGTCTTAGGAGTCTCACTGACCCTAGGCGACTCACAACGAGTCGAGTCAGAGCTCGTTCAAAATAGACATCTTCCTGAAGCACCCTAGTTCATCACTTCCATCACTGGTCCATTACACCAGTGCCCGAGGCATCAAACCCTTTCTGCAGCTTCGATGATTTCTTGCACAAAAACCAAGCAAGAAGATGCAGGAAGACTGACTATGCAGCAAATTGCAGCAATACCTCAATCAAGAGACCTTTGAAGACCCATGTGCAGAGCTTAAACCCAAACTCATCCGAACTCCATTTATATATATATATATATAAGAATTGAACAGTCTGGCGATCGGTGACTCTGCTGGCGCTGTTGACATTCTTTGATGGATGTTTGGCACTCGGATTTTCGAAGTCCATCGCGATGGACTCACGGCATTCCTTTGTCAAGGCGTGCTCCACATGCTCTCCGAAAGATGTCTCTCAGAGTTCCGAGCATGGAGGAGCGACTTGCGCGAGGAAGACATGAAAAAACTGCGGACGGCAGCAGAAATGCAGGACGGCAGCTGTGGCACAATGGCCGTTTCAAAGAGGCTTATGCAGAGTCTCGGACCTAAGGTGTCTCATTCTGTCGACGTCAAATTGAAACTCCCAGCCGCATTCTTCCATGAGGCTGGGACATTGCTTGGGCAGTGGTCAGGACCTGGAATTGTGAGTGCAAATGTAACATTGATATCATTGATGCTTGATTGATACTTGATTCATTGATATCAGCAATCATTTCGAATCATTGCTAATAACTTGTAAAAGCCATTTCACTACCAGTGGCTGCAAGTGATCCAGTGAAGTCCAAGGTGGTATGGGAACAGTGTGGGCTGCACGTGTAAGTGATGCGGCTTCTTCAAGGTGAGCACCCGTCTCCCTGCCACCCTTGGGATTTTGATTGTAGCTGAAGAGGTACAAGGGACGCTGGGTTGCAGTGAAGGCCATTCCCATTTTGCACTGTCCTTGGGCTGTTTGCAAGTTCAAAAACGACGCTCAGTGGCTTCACGACGCACAATCCTTTGACTGAATCAGATGTTGAGGCTTCCCCAGTCACGAGAACCATCTGCTTTGCATCAAGGAGTGAAGCTGTGGTGTCAGATCTGCCAATCAGCTCAAATGCTTTCCGTTCGAGGCTTGCGTGAATGCCTCTCGACATTCCAAGATTTGAGTGCCTTTGCTGCGACGATTCCGACACTGAGCTCCAACACTCCCGTGCCAGTTGCAAGGTTCAGCGCATGTGGTTCGCTACGAGACATACTGGCTTGAGGAGCATGAAACGTCATTCTGAAAGTATGAAGGCAGTAGTAGGGGTCAGTTCTCAGTTTCACAATCTTCCAGGAGCCAGAGCATCTGCCAGAAGCGATGCAACAACTTCACCTTCCGCGTCCGGCAGTGCCCCAAGCAAAACAAAGGCATGCTATATTTTAGGAACATTGGTCAACCCTACATGGCAATGTTTCATCTGTGGTGACGGGAATAACATATATAACAAGCTTGTTGGTTTGGTGGCCTCCCAACCTGAGACATGTCACATACACCCTAAATGTCAAGATTCCAGGATTTTACAAGGTCAGACAGTCAGACATTGGTCACTTGTTGTATCCAGGCTCAGCTGAAGAAGGAGGCGCTGCCGGACGAATCAGAAGATGATCGTTCAAGGGTGATGGTTTGTACTCAAGCCGACAAGCTGTTTGACATTTCAAAGGAATGTCAATATCAGCTTTTCACCTTGGAAATTTGCTTAGTACCAACTGACATATGCAACACAGGAGCAAGCAGTTGTGTTGCCTTCTGAAGCCTGCCCGGTAAGATGGAACATCTCCTTTTATCCCGAGAATGAGCATGAATGAACCGATCTGATTTTGTGATCTCAATTTTACAGTTGATCGGCAAAAACACTAGCACATTTCACCAGAGGAGCTAGAGTCTAGAGAGCTGCTAAACGGTGCTCCGTGCAGGTTGAAGAGGATCCTGCCTGGGTGTCCTCTTTGCGATTCCGGGTGCGGCTTCGTAGATGCGAAACAAATCATCGAACCTGAAAGAAGCCTTCATGTGGAAAAATGTCAGGGAAGAGCTGGCACTGCCGGGAGCAGTCTTGCTTTCAGGCATGCCGCACCGGTGCACATGCTTGCCACGTGTATGTGTGTAACCTTTGGAGTCACAAGGTTCCTGTTGGATTGTCAGGTTTGATTGCCAGTATAAGCAGGGGGGCGCAGCAAATGCAAGGGACTGCGCCTAACAAAGCTACCTTGCATCTGGGAAGCAGAGCCTGATCAGCTCTGTGTACCTGCTGTTGAGAACCCAAGTATGGCTAAAGCTGTCTCATTCTTTGTTGTGAGCGGCTAATGCAGCGGCAGGTCACCTCGGATTTCCGTGAGCTTGAGACTTGATTTGAGACTTGATTTCGCTCTGGAGGCATTGGAGGTTCCGTGGAGGCTTTTCAGTTTTGTCACTTACCTGACCCCTTAGGCACTTGGTTACCTAGGTCGCCGTGTGGCGAGTGGCATTCGAGTCAGTACGCATTTCTATAAGTGTGTCTGCTCGTGATCGTGAGAGCTTAGGGTGACCCCGAAGAGTGGCTCCTGTGGACCCGTTGAAATACAGAGCAGCTCGCAGCGAGCGTAGGTGGCTTAAGCCAAAGTTATTTGCCAAGAGTTGCTGAATTATTGAACTCCAAGCTGGCTGCCATTTTGGCATGCCTTTAGGTGACCACAGCGGTCTCAAGTCGCCCGCCATTTTGGCATGGCACAAGGTGACCAGAGCAGTCAAAGCATGTTTAGGGTTGATTGGGACCCGTCGCCACCTCAGGTGCACACACAGCACGTACATTTTCAGGGAGGTTTGGCTAGGTTTTCTAATGAGGTTCGGGTTCATTGGTTTTCGATCCCCTCCATTTGGTTTCCCTTTTCATCCTTTCCCCTTCGCACACATTTGTTTTCCTCTTTTCTTTCATGTCCTCCTGTCTTCATGTTCTGCCACCTCATCCTTTCTTTCGTTTGCGCGCACAGCGGTCCTGGCCTTAGTGTGTACGCGCGCTTCTACATACACTTCAAACACAGGTTTCAGGTCGCCCAAGTCTTGACAATGAGGTGGGGTTCATCAGTTGTCCCTGTGCACTTGGTTTCCTTTTCATTGCCACCACACACACACACACCTTTGTCCCGTCTCGTCCTCCTTCTCATGTCTTCATCCTTTTCTCTTTGTTGCGCGCACACTTCCACAACCGTCCTCGCCTTACTTCTTTTTGCCTCCCCTCGGGGAGGCGTGTGTGTGTGTGTATGTAACCTTTGGAGTCACAAGGTTCCTGTTGGATTGTCAGGTTTGATTGCCAGTATAAGCAGGGGGGCGCAGCAGATGCAAGGGACTGCGCCTAACAAAGCTACCTTGCATCTGGGAAGCAGAGCCTGATCAGCTCTGTGTACCTGCTGTTGAGAAGCCAAGTATGGCTAAAGCTGTCTCATTCTTTGTTGTGAGCGGCTAATGCAGCGGCACGTCACCTCGGATTTTCGTGAGCTTGAGACTTGACTTGAGACTTGATTTCGCCCTGGAGGCATTGGAGGTTCCGTGGAGGCTTTTCAGTTTTGTCATTTATCTGACCCCTTTGGCACTTGGTTACCTAGGTCGCCGTGTGGCGAGTGGCATTCGAGTCAGTACGCATTTCTATAAATGTGTGTGTGTGTAACCCTTGGAATCACACAGAGCCAGTTGACTTTGAAATTTGCAGAGGGCATGGAGAGGACATATGAGGCTCCATCCAACGAAGCTCCTCATAGTCTGCTCCTGGGGACTCCTCATGACGTACCTGCTCAGATGCTAATATTCATTTCCGTTTGGTCCCTGGTTCTAGCTAAGCCAGGTTACGGGCCCTTGCATGGGTTTGAGCATTGCTTCATGGAGTTTAGGAGTTGACTGCACTTGGATCCTGGATCTCCGACTCTTGGAACTTGGAATCTTGAAACTTGGATCCTGGAATTTCAGGACGCCACATGTTTTACTCAGGCTCTTTTTTCACCAAGGTTCTTGCATGTGGCATTCAGACTGTCTGTACGTGCTCCATCCTAGAATCCTAAGTGTGTGTGTGTGTGTGTGTGTTTGGCTTGGGACGGTGGTGCTTTGCGCAGGCGCACGCGTAGCAGCAGTGATGTGTATCCAACTCCCCCTGGCCTTGACGGAAGCCTCGGGCCAGAGGCCAAGATTGTATGCATCCAGATAGTAGCACACCAACAAAACACTTTACTAGTGGGCAGTTGATTGGTTTGATTGCAAGCGTTACTTTCATTGCCAAGGTTCATTTGGGAGGTAGATTCGCTGCAGCATGAGCTGTCACGCCCGTCAACACCACCTCCAGCAAGAGTTGTTTGGCAGGACACCTAAGTGACGCATGACTTTCTCAGAGAAAACACCCTGTCGATCCCTCGGCAGGACAAGGTGGAAACCAAGCAGGTTGTTGGCAGCCGAGATTTGTTCAAGAGTCGCACACTTGCTTGTCACATGTAGGTGCTGATTTAACAAAAGTTGCACTTTGTCAATGCGATAAGTTTGCTTCGGACTCTTGTGTTCGCGGCAAAGCAAGATATTGTATGTTCGCCACATCAAGAACAAAGACAAATACACAGCCTGTGAAGGCGAGAAGCATCGTTTGCATCGAAAGATGAACGCAACTCATTTAGCTGCGGAGCAGGTTGAAGGGCCACTTGCAACAGCAGAGAAGTGGATGTAATCGTAAGAAGGCGCTGCAACCATTCTTGAAAGACAGCAAATATGCTCTAGAATCACTTTAGAAATCTTTAGAAACACCTACACAACAAACTAAGCCTCTCCTGGGCATTGGCTTGGGTCCCAGACTTGTGCTTATACTTTTCAATCGCAACAGGGGCACGGCATTGCACACACACGCACTCAATACCGATACCGATGCCGATACCTTTCTGCGTCGATCTTACCAGCAGAGCATCTGCGCGCCAATGGGCCAAAGACCCACGGAACGAAGCACTTTACTGTTTGGTCACACAGCTTACGGATGGAGCAATTGTACCTTGTACTAGTAGCTTCTTGTTACTAGTACTAATGGCCTCCAACCTAATAGCAATGGCCTCCAACCTAGTAGCTTCTTGTTACTAGCTTATTACACTAATTAAGTCCTTTTTGTTTCCTTTTTTGCTTTTCTTTGCTGTGCCTTTCAAGGTCTTGCTGATCGAAATGGAGCTGATGGGATCGGCGCCAGATGGAAGCATATCAGATGACCGGCAGTCGCTCAGCATGAAATGAATGTAGCCTATTGGCTCATTCAACATGTCTTCAGAATTGAACACGTGTGATGCTGTTGTATTTTCCTGGTTCAATCCCTGTTACATATTCACCTGTCAAGCTCTTGTTCGCTCTTCTCCACAAGGACCTTGACTCTCCGAAGTTGGCTAAAACTCGAGAGTCGCACGCTTTCGGACGCTGCTGATGTCTTTGGTTCTTTGATGTTGAGTGCTGGAATCTCAGAGAGAGAACCGAGAGGAATTCTTGCTTGAACTCAAGGTCTACTAGTATGTGTTGTAAATGATGTGTTGCATTTACATTTTTTTTTGGGAGGTAGGCCAAAGAAGAGAGGCTAGTAGCTTAAGCAGCAAGATGCTGGGACACAGAAGTGCGAAGGATTCTTTAAGGAAGTTCCCCGCAGACTTGAACCCTTTGCACGATTGATTTGGTTCTGATTAATCATTGGAGGTTCGCCACATCCATCGCAAGCGGATCGTGCACAGCGATTTGAAGCATGCGGCTGACCAGTTGCGTTGTTTGGAAGCGGCATATACACAAGTGCTTTTGGTTGGAGATTCCCAGGGGAGTCCCGCCCGTTTGAACGTGTTTTTTGTTGCACCCAGGCCGGACAATATTTTCTGTGTAGCAGAACGTTCCAAGGCGAGAGAAAGGTTGAAATTGTATCACGCAGATGCGGAAAGATGTAGCTTCTTGTTACTACTAGTAAGGCACTTGTTACTAGTTGCGATGCACTTGTTCCTACTAGCTTCTTGTTACTACTAGTAAGGCACTAAGTTGTGTGTTTTCACTTCTTGTTTTTACAGCATACATGTCCTACACGTTCTCAAACTTCATGAACAGGCTCCATACCGATCGGCGTGCCGCGAGGTCAAAGTGGTTCGCATCGGTGACTTCGGTCTTGCTGGTCTCGTACCCCAGAGACCAGACCTTGTGGCGTGGCTCCGGTCACTGTGCGCTGGACGCGGAATGTTGGTGCCTGCGGACTTTGAACAGGTGAGAACCAGCTCTTCCGCCAATTTGACCAGCTCTCTTCGAAGATGTGGTTTGCTCAATACAAAAGCCCTAATATCGACTGATGGACTTCCAGTGTCACGTGCTTTTTCACTCTCTTGGACGAATTGAGGCTGAAGAATAAGACCGCAATGGGGGGCACACCTGGATACACTGCTCCGGAGCGCGTTTCGCGGGCGCTCGGGCGTGCGAGTAACAGAGAGACTTATATAGCCACATTCTCTCAGACGTGACTTTCTCATTCTTATTCACATTCATGTCGATTCGGATCGAACACCGGCAAGATTATTCTAGTAGCTCTGTTTGTTTCAATCTTTCATGGGCTTGGAGGAGATCCTCCTGTGCGCCCGACATGGGCCATCTTCCGGGGCGAATGCTTGTAGTGACAAGGTGGACATCTATTCTTGCTTCTTGGCAGCCGATTCGAAGCTGTTTAAAAGCAAAAGGGAGCCTGCGTGACTGTCATGAGGTGCAGTAATCTTGTTGGAGCTCTTGTTGCAGCCATTCAGGACTTTGAGCGTGTCTGTTCGCTGTCCAACAGTTTGATGCAGTGCCAGGACGCACATGGAACGCATCAGCACCATGGACAAGTTCAACGAAAGCAAGGTGGGACACGCAACTAAAAATCTATACCACTCAAGGTGTTGAACAAAGAGGATTGCTTATGAGTTGAGTGCTTCAGATTGTTCCTGGATATGTCGCCGTGCGGCTTCCAAAGACGTGCCACCCTCGGGACACTAAGCTAAGCCAGTGCATGCAAAGGTGAGAGTATTTGAATGCCTTTCAGTTCTTTGAAGACGTTTGTCAGACTGATGTGCCAGACATCTCAATCATTATGAGGCGATGTCTTCTGCAGGAGATGGCAGAGAGCGATCCTGCCGCGAGGTGGGGCATTAGTATGACGACACCATATTGTAGGATTGTAAAGGCGACAGGTAGTTGTGCCTCAGCTTGCTTTGCAGGCTCTCTGCAGAAGAGGTTTGCAAGCGATTTGAGAAGGAGGCTGGCAAGCATTCCTTCACTGCTCAGCTTCTTTCTTACATGAGACATAGGAGACATTCAACAATTCGGCCAATTTCCGACAGTTCGGCAAAGAAGTGTTCTACAAAGAAAGCCCAGCAGGTGAGGAAAGAGCTGTGCCGGTCGGCGAGTCAACTTTGCTGCGACTCCAACCCAGCCTTTGAAAAGTTGCCAACTCAGATGACAACTAATAACAAGAAACTACTAATGGCTCCTGGCCATACTACTAGGAGCAAGGACGCTACTAGGGGCTCCTGGCCATACTACT